ACTGACTTTATTCTCATAATATTACAACTTTATTCGCATATTATGACTTTATTCTCATAATAGTACAACTTAATTCACATATTATGACTTTATTTTCGTAATAATAATAAAAAATATGTGTTATCTCCGTTGTGGATACTGGAGCTAAACCCAAATTATTGTTTTCTTTATTTACGTTTACCTTTTTAACTGTGAATTTATTCTTCCAGTAAAAAGACGTGTAAACACGTCCCGAAGCGTTTTAAGTCCGACATGAAACTGATCACTATGGTAACGGGGGAGCACGTGGTCACGCAAACCCACGTGAAGCCGACGTCAGGCGAAGGCTAGACCGTCTCATTTCGCAGCAGTTTTGAGCATCCTACCCAGCCCAGCGAGGACGTGGCCTACGTGGCCCAGCTAGGCTGGGTCCAGCCCATGAATTGAGACACAGCTTCCGTTTACATGCAGACATTCCCCTTTGACATCACTTCCTGTTTCTTYGCATGCAAATATCCAAGTATCTCAACAACTGTTCATCACAGCAGCATGAAACGCTATTTGCAATATGTTTTCAATGTTATCCTTCCAAAAATGCATTCATATTTATTACAAAAATTTGGTGTCACGGRCACTTTAATAGTAGTTAGCACATGGTGGTAGTGTGGGTCTTATCTCTGGTAGCCACACCACTACCCATTCCTGGAGCTGTGTCAGGAGCCAGGAGAGCCTCAGTGTGTCGGAGTGGATAACAGGATGGTCCCACAGCCTCCAACGAGAACTGACAAGTCTGTCACACTAACCCGATTCATGATCGTCCCTGACTGTCACTCTGAGAAACCAGAACGACTGCGCAACACATGCAGTCACAGGAAGCTGAATATTTACCTTGTGCTTATAATGACACACTAAACTCAAAATGAACACACGAACAATGTCAGCTAATAAACTGCAACTTTTAAACTTTTAGTTAGCCAGGCTGGTCTGAAGCTGTTAATAAAAAACCGTAGCTGTCCCTCGAAGGAATGCAGAGTTTCACACTCATCTCAGGATTAACAAGGAAAAAGTTGCAGCTGATTTCCTTGAAAACATCTGTTCGATCTAACGTGGTTTTACGAGATATGTGTTGTGTATAACGCTGCTACTACCCTAAATATTAGATCAACATCTTTTACTGAGTTAATGACACTTTTGAGTGGCTTATGATCACTAGTTGTTGGGACCGTCTTAAACTGGATTGACACAAAAGATTAATCTGAGAGTTTAATTCTAATCTGTCCAATGGTTCATGGGTTTACACAGTTTTGCTAGTCATCTTGTGCTATATGTGTGTAGCCCTCAAGCTTTGTGTTGGGGATCGTGCTCAGCTACTACAACACCAAGACCAATTCTTAGCTTAACRTTTATTTTAAAATAGCCRATTTATAGCCAYTTTTGTGCTTTCTAAAGATTTGACCACAAAAGTTAATCTGTTGTAGATATACACGAGTTTCATTACAATGAATGAGTCCACGGGTTCATGAGATATTTTGCTGACAGACAAGCAAACAAACACATACAAGACCATTAAACATCACATCTCTCTCGCTTCGGAGGCGGGCAATAATTATAGTCTTCTTCTTCTTCTTCTTCTTCTTCTTCTTCTTCTTCTTCTTATTATTATTATTATTATTATTATTAT